TCGTGTTTTAGGAAGTGTTTCCTCAGGCAACATTCAGAGGAGACTCCTGGAAGGGTGAAGCACGGTGCAGGGAAGGATTTGAGCCCTAGAGGAAGTGGGTTGGGAGAGGTGGGAAGCTGTTCCTAGAGATAAGGAGGTGCAGGGAGGCCACACAGCAAGCACAGCAGGTCCTGGCTTCCTTGGTGCATCTGAGGCTGGAATAACTGTGTCAAAGGGAGGGAAGGAGATGGGTGTAGAGTTGGTTGCTTCCAGGAGCGAAGGCCACCCAGCAGGAGGACAGCTCTAGTGCTGAGATGGTGGTGGATGTGGTCAAGTACTTGGGAAGCAGCAGGTCTCTGAGGTTTGGGGTTGTAGGACTCAGAGAGGCTACACTGTTTCCATCCTTGGAAGTTTACAAGACAAGATTGGATAAAGCCCTCATCAACCTGGTGGTTGACTCTGGTTGGAGCAGGAGGTTGGGACACAGACCTCCTTCCAATCTGAATTTCCTTACAACCCTATGATCCTAAGGCATATCCAGAGTGTTCTCTACTTGTAGAGTCTTTCCAGAGCATCCAGAGGTTAGAGGAAGGAAGCTAGCACACCATTCCTGACAATTATTTCCTGTTTTTCATCAGGAAAAAATACCACAATGTAAATCTGACATTGTCAAAATGCTGCCTTCAACCTCCAGGGTCACGCTGTGAGTAAACAGAGTTCTGAATTTTATTTCACGGAGCCAGACAGAACAGCAGCATGGAACTGAATGTGAGCAGATTAAAAGAAAAAAAAAAGTGTTGACATCTTCTTTCATCAAGAAGCATAGCACCTGGAGATGTCCCAGACCACGTGGGGATGACGAAGCCATGGCACTGAACAACCTCAGGGACAGTGCTTCCCCCATTCATCAGCATACATTTCCCTCCAACTACTCATGAAAAAGTCAAAGGCAACTTGAGCAGTTGCCCCAAATTCATCTTTCCATGCCTGCATGGGGTAATGAGTCCCTTCTAACCCACTGTATTCTATCCAACAGTACATCCCATAAATCTCTTCCAGCTCACTGTCACCCTCAGCCTCACATCTCTCTTAGCTAAACTCTTCACTTACAAAAAGCAGCATCAAAAACACCCAGGTAACTCAGGGTCAGCAATGCTATTTTTGCACTGTCTTTCCTGTGTTTGCAGGATCTTGGTGTGCCATGTCTCCATCATCTCCTGTGTCCCCACCCTACATTTTGTGGGCACTCGGCGCCAGATTCCCAGTGCTATAAACACACAGTCTTCATCTTGGTGGAGAATGAACTTGCCTTTTTATTGTCTTTGTCTTCAGGGCTGCCTTTTGCAAGCAGAACAAAACAATGACTTAAGGGTAGAGGAAATCTTCATATCTGTCTTCCCAAAATAACACTTGGGTAGAACTAAGGTCTTCTAGCCTGGAGAACTTGAATAAATGGAGTAGGAAGTATTTATCACCAGCACTGTTGATTATTTAATTTTCCCTCCTGAGTCTTGCTCTATCCCTGGCTGGTGCAATTCATAAATGTTTCATCAAGAGTTCTTTAGGCAGAGCATCTGTTCGTGGCATGAACACATACGCTGTTCTGAGGACAGTGCCTGGAAGGTGGACTCTGCTGAAACATGTATGGGATCCCAGAAAGACCACAGGAACCCATAAATCAGAATGGAAAAGAGGAAAACCAATTGTTACAGAACACAGCAGGTGGCTGCCTTGTTTGTTTACCATGAAGTATGGCACTCTTTGCTTTTTCTCTGTAGGAAGTTTGAATTATTTCCTTAAACGTGCTGCTACAGCGGGAGAGCTGCTCCTCGTATTTCTGGTGCAACACAGGGATAAAAAATAAAATAAAATGAAATAATAAAACTGAAAGCCTTGAAAGACGTACCCTTGGCTTATAGAAGGCTGACTGTCAAATCTGTGTAAGCCATAAAGCTTTTCTGTTTGTTGTTATTGCAACAGTTGCACTGTCAGTGCCACCAGATATCAGCTGCATTTCAGCTGTGCCTGGCACCATGGGGAGAAGCAGAGCCAGAGCTTTGTCCTCCAGCTTTGTTTCTGGAGCTGCCTCTGCCTGGTTGTGCCTGGCTGAACACAAGGGATGGAGAAACATCTTCCAGCTACAAAATGGGGCTTCCACCATCCTAGAAAGTCATCCAGGATGAATCATGGTTGGCATGAGCAAGGATATCCAAGCCTTCCCATGGCCACCATCTCCTATGCCAACAAAATGAGCATGACATACAGGTTTTTTTTTTTATTTTTTTTTTATTTTTTATTTTTTTAATGAGATGCAGCCTCCAGACTCCTGAGCAGCCACCAGTTTGGGTGTTCCCAAAAAGGAGGAAAGAAGGATCTCTCCAGGTGCATATCTCGGGTCAAACAAAAGCTATTTTTGGACTCTGTATTCATTCCATGGAGCATTGTTTTCTCCATTGGTGCAGAAGGGATTTACTAAAAATAAGGATGTATTCACAAGAGATGGTACGAAGGCAGCTATTTCCATAGGCAGATGCCAATGTTGAGCTACGCAAGCTGAAAGCATAATGAGGAAGCCCTATCCAGGCCAAGCAAACAGAGACTTTACCCAGATTTTGTGCTTTATTGTTGGATGCAATTTAGGGCAGGAGAACCCTCCAAGGAACATCAGCAGCAGCTTGACTGCTTTCCCCATCACTTTGCATTCATCTTCCCTTCTTTGGCAGCTGTTAAGGATTTCATTCAGCTTTTGTAGCCTTCAAAACTTGGAACAATAGTGGGACAGCGAAGCTCAGGAAACTCAGGAACAGCAGCTTATCTTGTGTCCGCTGCAGCCATGCTGCCAGACACCCCTTCCTCTCCCCCCTTCACTCCTTCTCCAGGAAGTATTCATAGAATGATAGAATATCCCAATCTGGAAGGGACCACCGAGTCCAACTCCCGGCTCCACACAGCACCACCCAAACCCTATGGCTGAGAGCAATGTCTCAGTATTGCTCCCTGAGCTCCAGCAGCTCGGGGCCATGACCAGTAACCTGTTCCATGCCCACCACCCTATGGAGCAGACCCTTTCCCTAACCCCCACCTGCCCCTCCCCTGACACAGCAACATCCTGTTCCATCAGGCTGTCACTGTTACCAGAGAGCAGAGATCAGCACTGCCCCTCTGCTCCCTGTGAGGAGAGTACTGTGTCCAGGTCTGGGGACCCCAGTACAAGAAAGACAGGGAGCTGTTGGAAAGGGTCCAGAGGAGAGCCACAAAGATTATCAGGGGGCTGCAGCACCTCCTCTACAAAGACAGGCTGTGGGAGCTGGGCTTGTTCAGCCTGGAGAAAAGAAGGCTGCGGGGTGACCTCATTGCAGCCTTCAGTACCTGAAGGGAGCCCACAAACAGGAGGGGAATCAACTCTTTGAAAGGGTAGATAACGGCAGGACAAGGGGAAATGGTTTGAAGTTGGGGGAGGGAAGATTTGGGTTGGGTATCAGGGGGAAGTTCTTTACAGAGAGAGCGGTGAGGTGCTGGAACAGCTGCCCAGAGAGGCTGTGGATGCCCCGTCCATCCCCTGCCCAGGTTGGATGGGGCCCTGGGCAGCCTGGGCTGGTATGAAATGGGGAGGTTTGTGGCCCTGCATGTGGCAGGGGGGTTGGAGATTCGTGATCCTTGAGGTCTCTTCCAACCTGGGCCATTCTGTATGTGCGATTCTTTGTAAGCTGTAGACAGCCATGAGGCCTCCTCCCCTCAACCTCTTTTACTGTGGTCCAAACAACCCAAGTCTTCCCTTGCTGGCTGTAAGATTTTGGGACAAAACAGATACAACCTCCATCATGGGAAGAGCCCATGATCTCGCTGTCAGCATACGAGAAGGGGCTGTGAGATGTGACACACAACTTGAGGACATGGGTCTATCCAAGCCATCTCAGCTGTACCAGTGAGGCCAGTGAAAGCATTTCTATGTTGGCACAGGGAAGCCGGGTCACAGCCCAGCATATTTATCTTGTATTCTCTGCCCTGTGGTAGTGAGCAAAGTCCAGTTTGGTTTTTGAGGAAAAAAGGAAACACCTCCGTGAAACAAGCCGTCACTTGTGTGAGGTAATAGTGGGGTCTGGAGCCGCGATTGCTCCCTCTGTGGCCCAAGCTGGGGAGAGCAGAGAATCATAGAACATCCCAAGTTGAAAAGGACCCACAAGGATCACTGAGGGTCCACACTGCACTCTCAAGCCCAAACCCTATGGCTGAGAGCAATGTCCCAATATTGCTCCCTGAGCTCCTGCAGTTCGGGGCTGTGCCCACTGCCCTGGGCAGCCTGTTTCATGCCCACTGCCCTACAGGGCAGAGGCTTTTCCTCACAGCCAGCCTGACCCTCCCTTAACACGGCTGAGGGTATCTCAGTGACACAGCCAAGGACATCTCTGTGACGTGGCTGAAGATATCTAACTGACACGGCCGAGGACATCTCCCTAGCACAGCTGAGGACATTTCTGTGCTATAAATGAGGACACCAGTGACATGGCTGAAGACATCGCAGTGACATGGCTGAGGAGATGCTGAGGACATCTCACTACCCCATGCCTGTACCGCACCCAGTGGCTATACATTTAGGGCTGCAAAAAACAAAACAAAACAAAAACCGAATAAAATCAAAGAGAAGAATGAAAACACAGCGCAGAGAGGCGGTCTCGTCTCGCTCTCTGCTTAGAACCAAGAGCTCGGCTCATGGAGGAAGAGGAGGACGCGCTCCGCGCAGCCCAGGGACCCACAGCTGACGGGTTCCAAAACACGCTGTTGTTTGGTTTATTTTCAAAAAAAAAAAAAAAAAAACCGTGCCCAAGGGGACGGAGAAACAGCAGCCGCAGCCAATCG